CTCCTGCGTTGGAATGCACAAGATAACTGCTGGAGGTTGTGTGGGGGAGAAGAGGCTGTAATGCTTGCCTATTGCTTTTCTCATGAGTACTGCACCTGTGTTTTGTCTGATGTTCTGCCTGGTTCCCATGGACTGGGCGCGCAACCGTTTCATTAGCCCGCCAGCGGGAATGCTATTCATTGGATCTGTATCTGTTTGAATTTCCTTTATTATGCTTGACCTAACTGTGTATCCCCAGTTCTAACAAAGAACGTGTTTGAGTATGTCTTCAACGCTTTGAAATAAATTTTGCTTTTCTTGAAAACGTGGATTTATTCTCGATGCTTGGGGATCCAACATATTGTTAGAACTCCCTTTCTCCTATCGTTCCGAATCTGGCAAGATCATGAGCGGAACTGAGGGAAACCTACTTAACACGGAGGGGGACTCAGGATCGGTCCCACATACCTCCGCTCCTTTGGTGTTCACGACTGCAGCCTCGGTGGAGGGTGCCGTGGGGGGAACGATTCCCCGCCTGCCTGCACATCTGTCTTGGCCGCCTCCGACCCCTTCGCACTGGGGTCCGCGGAAGACTCAACAGCAGGATGACTGGACTATGTACAACACTCAGGGCACCCGAGAGGTGTACTCCCGTCGAGGGAGCGGATTACGTGAAAGTCTGTTTGACAAGGGATTGTTCCCGGAGCCGGGGACTACCTCGGAGAAGGGGAGTTCCAAGCAAGACCTCGAGGAGTGGATGTTCGAGCCATCGGGGCCGCGAGGCCACGCAGAAGATGAGGAGGGCACCGGAGCCTTCCAAACGGAAGAGGACTATGACCCACCCCCGGACTATCGACCTCGGGACCCCATCCCGGAGGAAACTACCGGGGAACGACTAGCAGAACTGGAAGACTCGGTGAGAGACTTAATGCGGGCATTCCAGGATGTGATGGAAGGTCTGCCGGGAATGATGGACGTTAGAATGGCTAATTTCCTTGACGCACACGCCGCGCAGCAACAAGTTGCTCCTGCACCGGGATTGCCCACGCCGCCGATGCCTGCTCAACCGCTGAGGGG